CAGTGTTTTCCACACTTCAATTCAGCAGTCACTGTGCCGCTATTGAATCCACAGTGCCACGGAAAAAGAAATTGTTTTAGCAGAGTTGTGAGCTTGCTGTCTCAATTGAATGTGATGAGAGAGAGAGAGAAAGCCTGAGCACCATAAAATAATATAAAAGACAATAAGCAACAACATTGCCTCTTTCTGTTGTATCATTCTTGCTTGTTGCAGCAAGCAACAAACACAGCGCAACCTGTGCAGTCCAATTCGCAAATGAATGACTGTGACCTGATTCTTTTTTTAATAAGTCATTCAAAATGACAAACCACCAAAATTCACACTGAACACTAGAGAGATTAGAATACTGCAATCAAAATCCAAATGTGACTTCAAATTTAGTTCTCATTTGCTTTCACTAACTGTGCACATATAATCACATAATTCAAATACTACACTGTATATATGCATTACATTTTTTTTTTTCATCTTGCATCCAAGATAGCCCTCTTGGATACTGGCTGATTAATAACACACATGCACTTGCCAACTTCATGCATTATACAGAGTGAGAGACTAACCAGCTTTTTGTGTAATAAACTGAAGGGTACAGATGTGCTTGCATTATATAAAATCATTTTGAGATTGACTGTATTCTGCACATCATAATGCTAGCATCATCATCAGTCAAAAAAAGATGTCCGTCAAAATCTCAGTTTCAAATAGAGTTTATTTAAAGCCAATATTACACTGCAAGCAAACAATCCGTAGAAAAACGTCTATTCTGTCAGGACATCCGTTATGTCTATAGACATTTATTTTAACCCTAAAACACCTTAATGCAAACAATTCAAAATACAGGTGAAACGTGATGTTGTTGTCAGCAATATTTTAAATTGGATTTATTTATTATTAATTTTTGGCATTTTAAAATGGTACATATATAATTTAAATGGTAAATATTATTTACTGAATGTGTTTACAGAATAGTACTTATCTTTACTATATAGCAGTACATTTGCTTGGTTGCTTAAAAGTATTAGTACTAAAAGAATCATTAAGTGAATCATTAAGGAACCATAACTATTAAGTGGAATCGTAACCAGAAACTTTAAACTCCTCACTCTTATCTGTAATACACACCATAATGCCCTGATTTATCCATTATTTTTAATTGAACATGGCTAATTAATACTCTGAAATTACACAGAACCTTGAACAGTAGCTGAACCTTTAAATGTGCAATTGCATCCAATCTTCAAACACACTATCACACCTCAATTCACACAAAAGCATACGTTTCTTTTTTGGATCGTCACCTCTCTTGCAAAATTCGAAGCAACATGGCGGCCTAATTACAGCCTCGCTGAGTGAAAAAGAGCATCTGTTCCTAATGCAAACATGCTGTAAAACTGAAATGGAGAAAGATAAATCTGATCCTGAGAGAGACACGAAAACCACCTTAATCAAGACAAACTGGGGCTGCAGGCAAACTTTTGTGGCAACTCGGCACAAGTTCAGCCGCCTCTCCACAGCAACACCTGAGCCATTGACTGCATGCAAAACCAAAACGCTTTCATTTCAAATGGTCCACTGTGAACCAATCATCAATAAATTAATTCAAAACACTGGTATAAGGTTTGGTACATGCGTGGCATGTGCTTTTGTGTTACGACTGCAAAGCTGAAGGCCACTGAACAGCTGTACAGACTCTTCAATAGGGCTTCTCAGCACCTGTACAGCACCGTGAGCCTTAGCAGCATGCTAAAGACTGGAAAGATTACGTAAGGTGCATTTGTTCACATCATTGTACTTTACTTCTCACCTCAGGACTGCCTGAGCGTACCATAAATGGCTTTTTGTCATTTTTTACAATCAAATCACAAGCTATTGTTTTCAAAAGCATAATGTGTATGGTGACAAAACTAATGCCGTAAAAAGCCAAGGCCTTGTGATGCGAGGACAAAGTCAATACCACAGCCAATGAAAAGAGGAATAGTCTTTCTGAGCATGCTCTGTGAATTTAAATAACAGCGATTGTCTGATAAATTAAGGCTTATTTGCATAAGCTGCTAATTATTGCCTTACCAAAGCCCAAGATGGAAAATTACAATCTTAGGATGGGAAAATAGAAATGTTATAAAAACTCTTGGCGCTCCAATACTTAGGAGCGCCTATGATGCTAATATAATGGGCATAAGCTCTGGTGTAACATTAACTCAAAGAACAGCGTAAATCTTGAGGCAGAATGCCAGTTAGCGCTAGTGTCGTCTATGTCAAGCCTTCCCGGGAGCCTATTTGCTTAAACTGTTTGTAGATGGGTCTGTTTCGCAAATACATTTTACCTCTTTATTTCTGCATTCGAGAACAAAAGAGAAGGAGATGAGCCATTTGGAGGATGACAGATAGACGGAGGAGAAGTGGAAAGCGTAGTGATAGAACGTCAGGGGAAACACAGAGAGACGGGGCCCTTGGATCCATGTAGGGGTGAGCCTAACGGCTTATCGCCCCAGACAAGAACCCCCTGGATAACTCGGTCCGAACAGAAGCGGGGTGCAGTGTTGTGATAAGCAAGGAAGTTCGGTAAGGCAAAACACGAAATGAAGGACAGCGAGAGGGAAAGATATAAAGGGAAATGGAGTGAATAAGCCTTGGGAAGACAGTGCCAACAGTGGCAGCAGTGCCAGGAATGCCTCACCAGCACCGCACGACTAAACCTCTTAAAAAATTTACACAGAAATTTGGCCAATGTAGGTTATCAAAAGCGCATGTGTGTAGCAGCAGCGTTCGTTACAGCAAAATGCTGAAACATTAAAGAAAGACAGACGACAAACTATATGGAGAGTCTAGTTCCAGCGAGGCCTGACTCTTGATGGCTCACCATGAAATGTGCTTCAGGCGCTGGAAGTAGCATGGAGAACAGTCAAAATATATCACCCGATGGCAATCTGGCTCTTTTGTAACTAGTTTCTGAGCTTGGGCAACTGCTTCACAAGATACTGGATAATCTATTTTCTTCTCCGTCTCAATAATCCAAACCCTGCGCCCACTTCTCGCACGGACCCAATTTGGTTGTTTGTCTTTGTATGTATGACTGTTATGCAGCACTGAAATAATAATAATAATACTAATAATTATCTAGCATTGCTACCATCTGGCTCACGATTAACATTCCAATTAGAATTCGCTGCAATCAGAGTGGTGCAACTTCCAACGCAGGAAATAACTGCTGTGACAACGGCTATTAGCCTTGAGTATCCCGGCTTATGAATTTTAATTCTACAAAAGAACGGTCCACATACGTCACTATAAAACTGGCAAACGGAGCATCGGAAACAAAGTGGTTTCACAAAGCAGCCGAGGGCTTATTGAAAAGTTGCATATGGCCAAACTGAAATTCAAACAATGACTTGTCCCCAGATGGGAACAATAAAGCTCATGCCTCACTGATTCGTTCAGTCTTAATGGATTTTGTAAATCAATATACACAATGGCTTTCATATACTGTCATAATAAGAGCTTTGGTCAATGTTTCTTTTTGTTATGAGGTAGAGCAATTATATGATTACATCTTATGGGATAAAAATTCACATAGGATATACCTTTTGAAAGTGGATGATCTAACTGGACAAATTACAATTAGAGATGTCAATCAATGAAAAAAAAAAAGATAGAAATTATATATGCCAATTAATCAACCAAATGAAATCTTTTAAGAAAAGCCTGCAAATGAAGATAATTTACAATATTAAATTAAATTGGCAGTCAAAATCATTGAATTGCAATAAGCACTTTTTAAAGTCAATAAATTATTTGTTTTAAATGCATATCATTAAACAGAACACTGTCACTGGTCTAATGATCGACTTCAGTTGAAAACATGAAGGTTAAGATTAAGATTTTTTTTTAATAGTAGGATTATTAACATATAGATCAAGGGGCTTGATTAATTGCATATTTTTTTTATAAATCACACTAATTTAATGCATTAAATTGACAGGCATAATTATAATCCATCTCTTCACTGTCCTACAGGTAGCACTGGCAAAAGTGTGTGTGTGTGAGACAGCGAGCAGTGATATTCCCCACCACCTGACACCTTAATGCCATAAACAACACACAAATCTTTGTCAACGGAGCTCGCTGTGACACCTGGTATCATCACAAAAACAATATCCTCAGTGTGTGTCATCTTACAGAAGAAAAAAAGAAATGCTGAATACCTGGAAGAGGATTGTACTGAAAAAGCTAGCACTGCATGGCTTCACCAGCTAGACTACATGAATAAGACATCAAATCCATGGTAAAATACAGACTATATCTCTAGATCCCTGAATGGCATAGCTGGAAGAGAAATCTAGACGCTGCCACATTGTTTACAAACCTGCAATATAATATATGTACTGTTAGGATTGAGTTGTGTTGGTTTGGGTGTTTTGGTCTCTTTTTCTTTGTGATAGGTTGTACCTTGTCGTCTCCCTTAATGTTACATCTTTGAGCCAGGTACACAGCATATATTTCCTGGAAAAATCGAAAAACAAACAGTAACAAACAATAAGCGCATGTTGTAGGTCATTCAAATTCATCCTGTTTGTCTTTTCCTTGAACCTGAAAACAATATAGTGGCCCCAAAAAATATTTGGATGCTTAAGTTTAACTTTAAACTTTTAACTTAACTTTAGACTTCATCATTTACCAAAATATCAAACCACAAACACACATTCAAAGCAAAGTTTGTTAGGTTTCAAATGATGAAATGAACAGTAAATATAATGTTCGCCTTAGCATTTGAACACTTTACGGTTGCCATAAAATTGTGGACTGATTGACCAAATTGTCCAAATACACTTTAGGGTCACTGCTTTACTGTATACATGAAATAACATTCAACTTGGTCCAGCTGTGGAAATAAACAGGAAAATAAGGCCACAATATAAAAGTATAAAATGACTTTGTTGATCGACTGGCCTGCAAGAGAAAGGAACAGAAAATATGCTTGTTTTTTTTGTTTTTGGACTCACGGTTGTTGATGTTTGTGATGTTTCTTTTATCCTGGTGATTATGCTTCTTTTAGGTTTAATTTGGGTAAGCGGTGTCACAAAAATATCCCCAAAAAACAAACAAAAAAAAGATATTCCAACTCAGTTGCTGTGTGGTTTGGCCTTGCCTGGAGGACTGGCTGTTTGCAGTACCAAACATTCAAACTTCCTACTTTATGTAGCACTTCAACCACCTGACTGGTCACATGACCCAACCAGGTTATCGTCTAGCCTACACAACGCCTAGAATTAACAGAAAATCAGCGTTTGATTTAACTAGTACTAAACAAAGTTGCCCGTTAATAATTGAAGTTTCATTGCACTTGCATATTATATTTGATGCAAATCAATTTCAGGATACATATTTAACCAATAATTATTCATTCTCAGATAAAAACAGGCCTAGTCAGGTAGGCAGTCATGTGATTTTTTATTTTAATTTTATTTATAAATTAACACTAGAACTACTGTAATTCTATAACTGCTAGAATGGCCATAGCGGTCATTTTGACCGTTCGTACTAGACTGCACAGAATGGCGATTTTGACATGTCATATTTACATTCTAAGTTTCTGTTGAGGTTTTAGAATAAAGCTTTAAATGTCTGTCATCATACTTTATGATGATAAATGTCAAAATCCTCAAACAAAATCCTCAATTTGAATAAATCGGGCGATATTGATTAAATGGAGCATGGAGAGCCAAGAGAACGCAGACAGGCACATCATATCCACTCCAACAAATTGCTTATCATATGCATGCGAAAAGTGCATATTATATGCACGTCAAACACGTGTGCATCATATGCACGCTAAAGGTAATTTTTGTGTATAAATAGCACACCAGATAGACAGAAAATCATGCTATTGATATGCACTTTCAAGAGATTGGTTAGGGGATGTTTTTGAAAGTCTAAATGGCGACACATGGATTGAAGCAGAATATTTAGTTAGATAAAAACATGTTGAGAATTTTTTTAATGATTACATATATCTTTTTTCAATACATTTTGACTTTTGGACTTTACAACGCTCTGGAGTTATTGGAAATGTTTGGCTCACACGAATCGTTAAAAACAATCCGATGCATCACCAGCATCATCAAGACTCTGAAGCAAGTCTAAAACCTCAGTGGCAGCCAAGCTCTTTCTTTCTTGCTGACATTTCAAAGGTAAAGCTAAGTTTTATCTTAGCAATAGCATAAAAAAAATAACAACTAGAAAGTTGCTAGACAACAGTGACGTGCTTCTTCAATGGCGGAGAAACGAAACAATCCAGTAGCCCCTCACTGCAGAACAAAGATCCAGGGGGCGGGGTTGGATCCACATCTAGGGGGTGGAGATGGTAGGTTTAGGGGTGGAGATGGGTGGGTTTAGGGGTGGAGATGGGGAGGGTTAGGGAAGGAGATGGGTGGGTTTAGGGATCAGGGGGTGGAGACGGGTAGGTTTAGGTATATGTAAGGTGGGAGGAGTTGGATCTGGATCCAACCTCACCCTCTGGATCTTGTGTTCTGCAGTGAGGACCATCTCAAACAATCACTGAAATGATATGCGGTACACTCTGTCTGTAATGCATGCAGTCAAATTGACCATTATGGCCATTCTAGGTAGAAATACTCAGAACTCTTTTGTGTTTTGTAATTTTAATAAAATAACCATGTTAGAATAAAATATACACACATTTGGGAAAAGTCAGGGTACTAGAGCTATATATGGGTTTTATTTCAACAAAGTTATTACATTGCAAAATGGTCAAAATGACCGTCTTGGTAGTTCTAGTGTTAAAATGTATATTTTATATTATATTTAAAAAATGTCAATAAATATTTATATGGTAACATTTAAAGATTCATATTTTGGGTAATATTTTACAATACAATTCTACAAATTACTTTTAACAAACTAATAATGAGCAATACCATTTTTAATATGATAATATAATACCTATAATATTTGTATCGGTAGAAAGTAACATTTCTAATTTTTGGTTCATGTAAACTATTGCTAAATAATGTTAACATAAGCAATCTAATTGTTGCTTACATTATTTTATAGCAGCATATAAGCAGAAAAATGTATATTTATTATAGAATATGTAGTTGCTATTTAATCATTCTTTTTTCAAGACTTAAAGAGATCATTTTACATATCTATATTACTTCAAGTAATGGAAATCATAATCACAGTTTTTTTTTATGTCAGTGAGTACCTAAAACATAATTATAATTAAAATAATATTTGTACAACTATTTGTACAACAATTTGTACATGATTTCCCTCTCATTGTAGAATCAATGACTTGCAACAACATTTTAAGAGTAAAAAATGGTCAATACTGTGAAATATGAGAACACAGCACTGGCAAGATAAGTTATTTTCATTTTTTCCCCCATCTGCCACATAATCCGCCAACCACATAAAACATCACGTTCCTCGATCATCTTCCAAACATCCTCCTTTTAAAAAGACTCCAAAAGCCAGTTAGATTCAGCGCAACATTCCCTTCGGATCCAAATGCTGCGGCACTTGTTAAAGACGCAGTTACACCATGGCGATAAATCCCACGGCCATCAGAAGTTTGGGCAGCGCAGAAGAGCCAGGCGCTGGTAGTGGCAGGCGGACCATTGGCGGCGGTTGAGAGGGAAATAAAGCCATTCAGTTTTTTTTTTTTTTTTTTTAAATTGAATGGATGTTATCTTTTGAACTATTTGCATGAAAATTACAGGTTTTTTACAGATTTTTCATGATTTTACATGTGCATCGCGGTTTCAAAATAAAGGTCAGAATTTGCTTACTGACTCTGATGAGTACTCTTGTCACAAATGAATAAATCACGGGTGTGTTGTAAAATATATTGAAAATCAGTCACCAAATATGCAAATTAGAGGGTTTAAGCTTTCAAATTATACATAGTTTTTCAACATTACTTTAGGTTTAGACTAAGATATTACTGTTTTATATATATATATACTGTATATATACAGTATATATATATATATATCAGTAATATCTTAGTCTAAACCTAAAGTAATGTTGAAAAACTATGTATAATTTGAAAGCTTAAACCTATATATATATATATAAGATTAAATAATAAGAAGAAGAAATCTATATCTGTCTCTTATTATATTAACTTTTTATATTATCATATTAATTTTACTATTATATTTAACATACATCTGAACAACAATTAATAATTTATAATTAATCATTTAAACGTACTTTTTCAAACCTTCTCTTCAAAGGGGAAAAAATACATTTAATGGGGTCTTAAAAAGACAGATGAGTCAGTGAGAGAGACACCAGGATACAGAGAGAGAAAAAGCAATAGACTCTCATATTTCAATACTTTGAGATGTGATCATAGTCTCTGAGGATAATTAGGTCATGCATTACTTTAACTGTTAACTACTTAGTGTCTGCTAAAAATAAGGATATTACTATCTATATGAACACTTAAAAAGGCAAATAAATGAATCCACCTTTCATTGACTGGATATCTGATGTATGTATATGACAGCTAAATTTTCCACCCGGATCTTCTTTGCTATGTGTTTATGAATTGGCAGGCTGAACCACACAATCTGACAGCAATCAGAAACGCCTTAAATTTAACACACTGGACCGGAACAGCCACCCTGCATATTGAACTTTATCTGCAAGGCTCCCTGCGGTAAATACTGCCATGCCACACGCCGTGTTCACACAAATGACATTTAGCCATGTTTTTTTTTCTCCGTTAAATTGCAGCTCATCCAAAAGGTACACATTCAACAAATCAAACCTCTGCCATTTGAGTAACCTTAGGGCCTTTTGACCTCTTTTTGTGATGGGTCAAGTGTCGACTGAACCCTGCAGCCGCCTCATTGTTTTAAAGGTCAGAACCTTGTTTTGACCAAGATGAGTTTGGTGTTCCTATTTTTTCCTATGCATATATGACCATAAATGGAGTCTGAGTAAAAAGAAATATTAAAGGTTTAACTGTGAATTGGCATTAATAGTTGAATACAAATCTCACAGACACAGCAATGGTGTCACCTACTTTATATACTTAAAAAGAAGTTCTCTTTGTCAACTCTAATTCTCTTCTACTTGGGATCTTTTAATTTTCCAGCTCGCAACTTCCATTTTTGAACTCCCATTTTGCTCAGCAGTGCTACTAAAAACCTTTAGATTTTTTGATTGCTGTCAAATCAGTGGCTTTGTGTCTTTTTTTAGTTAAATCTGTTCACAACGTTGCTTTTGAAGCTTTTCCTGGAATAAATAAATAAATAAACAGCCAGTTGAGGCTGAATAGAGAGCCATGGATTTGTCATCGGCACTCAAAGGGAATCAGACAGGTGATGATAAAAAATGCAAACACAGATCTAAGCTCTCGCTCTGTTTTGCTGCGCTATTACTGTGTGCGAGAGAAAATCTGGCATCCGTATCACTGAAAAATCATCGTTTACATCTGGGATAAGGCAGAGGACAGACACATCAACGTTATCACAGCCAAAACGAGACCCAGAGGGTTCAAATCGATGCTGTTAATGAGATACAGAGAGAAAAACAGTTAAAGTAAAAGATAAGAAAAAGTTAACGGTCTTCCGTGTTTGTATTCAGTCACAACTTTATCCATAAACGAAAGACTTTACAAAGGGAGGATGTTGAAGACTTTATTATCGCTGGAAACCGCATTAAACCTGAAAAGATGGGCCTGTCCTCCTCATTTGGATTGGAGGAGTTCACCTGTGCACAGAGCGCTAATTAATGCCCATGTCTGTGCTGAAGGTCGTCTGGTCCTCAGACAAACACACTCCACGCTCCATCTCACTGACTCAATTAACAGGCCTGTCTAACGACTTCCTGCGGTCCCTCCTCAACACTCACCGTCTGTACCTCTCGTGCATTTTCCTTCTCTTTTCCAGTTTCTACCCTTCTCTCTCTCTCTCTGAAAACTCCATTACAACACACGGCGGTCTGCTAAATGACCGAGCTCGCTCATTTCTAAACGAGCATGTAGAAAGCATATTTGTGGAGCATATTGGTAATGAAGTTTTGCAGCCGCTGGTTGCTGCGAGAGGAACCGCATGGTTCCAGGGTAATGAAACCTGAATTTAAGACACCGTAAGCGAGCTTGATGCCACATTAAATTAAAAATG